AGAGCGTAGTCAATGTCACTGAACTGTACGTGTAGTAATTTTTGAAATGGTGTATCTTTGGCTATGTGTATTTTCACCAAAAAAAAAGGTTGAGAAGTTAGAGGGTTGATGTGTTGTGGGGCTGTTAACCAATGTCATAAAACAATATGTGTACTACTGTTTCATGAGAAACTATTTGTTCTGTAAGCCTTCATCTGAAGTACAATAAAAAAACAAAAAGTGTTTGAGCTGCAGGTCATTTTAGGTCCGTTATAAATATCATGAACACAAAAGCTTAACCCAGTTAGAGGACCCCGAAGGGTGCCGAGTACTCACAAAATAGGCCAATGTAAGCTCAGCCAAGCGGAAAGGTTAAAAGAACAAAATTAAATGGGGAGGCAATTTTCACCATTAGGATAAAAATAGAAACTAAAATTAACTTTTGAATTTGGGTTTACTATGTGAACAGAAGGAGCGCTGGTGGCACAGTGGTTAAGTGCTCAGCTGCTGACTGAAAGGTGGGCCGTTGGAATCCACCAGCTGCTCCGTGGAAGAAAGAGTCTGCTTCTGTAAAGATTAAGGCCTTGGAAACCCTATGGGGCAGTTCTGCTCTGTCCTACAGGGTCGCTGTGTGTCAGAGGCGTGGGAAGCAGCCAGCAACGACGTGGGAGCCCGTGTTCTCAGTCTTCATTCAGTAACACATCAGCGTCTTGGGACAGGGATCCCTACACTGATCAGATTCAGGTATCGGCCCTTTAGTGTTTTCCTCTTTGTGGAGGGACTCACCTCACGAGCCTAAATGCACCATGGCAACCATATCACTTAGGTCCCCCAACAGTTCAGTGCGGCTTAGATTCTTCTGGAAAATTATCTGCTGTGACTGTTAAAATTCCATTGCTGGCGAGTCAATTCCGAATACTTCAGTGGAACCACGTGCTGGGCGCACCCAAGCGGACTCGAGGCTTGAATGCGTGGGGAGCCTCCTGTGAAGTGGCAAACTGTTCCTGGTCAAACCTTTGCCTTCCATCGCCACGGATAGGTGGTGTGTGCCTTACAGATGGGGGCGGAGTGCTCAGTGGTAGAATTTTCACCTTCCACGCGGGCTTCTGTTCCATCTCCAGGAGTCAAGGGCTGACTGGACGTCAGCTAACAGCAACAACCCTGACTGATGCCCTCCACACGTGACCTCGCGGCCCCCAGCCTCACAGCCCAGGCTGCTGTCCCCCGAGCCAGGGGGAATGGGAGGGGAGGCACACCCCAACCTATGTCCTTCCACAACCACGTAAGCGAAACAGGACCGCCTCGTGTGAAATCCTGAGCGAACCAACACTGTGGCCTTGCCTTGTGATCTGGGGTCTCTACAGCATCCCCCAGCCTTGACGTGGCCTCCTGCCCACTCCCCACGCAGCCGTAAGCACAGGCGTTGTAGCCAGCTGCCGGGCTGGGACTCTGCCCCGCCACCTCCCTTTGTGATTCTGGGCAAATTGTGCCTCGGCTCCCACATCTGTAAAGCAGATATTCAGCGGAGCCCATATTGTTCCAGTTCATGTCGGCTGTTATCATTTACTATATTATTGTTAATTGGGAGCCCTAGTGGCGCAGTGGTTAAGAGCTCAACTGCTAACCAAAAGGCTGGCAGTTCAAATCCACTAGCAGCTCCTTGGAAACCCTATGGGGCAGTTCTGCTCGGTCCTGTAGGGTCGCTGTGAGTCGGAATGGACTCGAAGGCGCTGGGTTTAGTTCTGTATATTATTAATTACATATTATGTGTATTAATTATTGACGATGTATATTTTAAATACATTAATTATGTAATTATTAATAATATTATCCATTATTTACTTGAACAATGGTGCTGTTGCTGTGTGCTGTCCAGCCGATTCCGACTCATAGTGGCCCCAGGTCACACAGTAGAACTGCCCCCATATGGTTTGCTTGGCTGTAATCTTTACGGAGGGAGCCATGGTGATGCAACGGTTAAGCCCTCAGCTGCTAACCGAAAGGTGCACGATTGGAACTGGCCCCCCACAGCTGCTTTCGTAAAGATTACAGCCTTGAAAACCCCACTCTGTCCTGTGGGTTCGCTAGAGGTTGGAGTCGACTTGCTGGCACACAGCAACGACAGCAACAATCCTTCCAGAAGCGGGTCACTGAGTCTTTCTCCCTCAGAGCCGCTGGGTGGGTCTGAACTGCCAGCCTTTCAGTTAGCAGCTGAGCGCTTAACCATTTGTGCCGTCAGGGCTACTTACTATACTAATACAATAATAATATTATTACTACCCCCAGCCCTCCAAGAAAGCGAAAGCTATAGGCAGGGACGGATTAACCAGTAAGCAAGGGACACACGGGCTTAGTTTACTTACTCATCTGTAGCGCACAGTTCCACAAGGGTTTTGCCACATCTTTGACATGGTGAAATTGTGCACCACAGACGGTAGATAAGCACAAGTAAGGGCATGCGTACCTTGCTTGTTGGGTGACCTGTCCCTGGCTATAGGCCAAGGTCATGTACTGACAGGAAATGAGAAGGGGCTAAACTTGGAGCTCCGCTAGGATGGGGTCAGGAGGCTGGAGGGATCATTGGAAGAACGATGAGGGGAACGAGACAAGTGTGGCCTCAGAGGTAACGCCAGCCTGGCGGTCAGTTCCTCCAGGAGGAAGGAGCGACCTCAGCCCCCTGAGAACTAACAGTACACAGGATTTCACAAATGAGCTTTGCACGTGTCCCGATAACCTCTCTGCTTTGCGATCCTACAGCCCTGAATGAAGAAATCAGCCATTTTGAAAAACGGAAGGTGTTTGTTTTAATATCCACGGTGATGACTTGGGCACGTTCCAAACCCCTGGATCCTGTAAGTAGTGTGCTGACTTCTTCTTTATGGAACATTTCACCCTTAATAGCTTGAAATCTGTATGCAGAAGGAAATTTCTACGGTGAGTTGTGTATTCTTTCACTCCTGAGCCTTATCCCATAGTAAGCATTCCACAGAGTTCATTGACTCTTAAGTACCATCAATTCTAAGGGATTCCATTGTTTTATATGTCACCAAGAAAGAAAAAAATACCTCCTATTAAACTTTAACAATGCTTTCTCATTACTTAGCCTTTTTTATTTTAAATACGCTGAAAGAGCTCTTTTAGAGAGACATTTTTCTGCATACATTAGAAGGGGAATATAAACAAAATACAGTGGTTATTTAAAACAAAAAACAAAAAACCCATCACCGTCAAATTGATTCCGACTCGCAGTGACCCTGTAGGACAGGTTAGAACTGCCCCATAGGATTTCCAAGGAGCAGCTGGTGGATTCGACCTGCTGACCTTCAGGTTCTGACACATAGCGACCCTATATGCACCACAGAACGAAACCCTGCCCGGTCCTGCGCCATCCTCACAATCATTGTTATGCTTGAGCCCATTGTTGCAGCCACTGCGTCAGTCCATCTTGTTGAGGGTCTTCCTCTTTTTCGCTGACCCCCTACTTTACCAAGCATGATGTCCTTCTCCAGGGACTGGTCCCTCCTGAAAACATGTTCAAAGTATGTGAGACGTAGTCTCACCATTCTTGCTTCTAAAGAGCATTCTGGTTGTACTTCTTCCAAGAGAGATTTGTCTGTTCTCCTGGCAGTCCATGGTAAATTCAATATTCTTCGCCGACACCACAGCTCAAAGTTGTCAATTCTTCTTCGGTCTTCCTTATTCATTGTCCAGCTTTCGCGTGCATATGAGGTGATGGAAAACACCATGGCTTGGGTCAGTTGCACCTTAGTCTTCAAGGTGACATCTTTGCTTTTTAAACCTTTAAAGAGGTCTTTTGCAGCAGATTTGCTTAATGCAATACATCATTTGATTTCTTGACTGCTGCTTCCATGGGCGTTGAGTGTGGACCTGAGTCAAATGAAATCCTTGACAACTTCAATCTTTTCTTCATTTATCATGATGTTGCTTACTGATCCAGTTGTGAGGATTTTTGTTTTCTTTATGCTGACGTATAACCCATACTGAAGGCTGTGGTCTTTGATCTTCATCAGTAAGTGCTTCAAGTCCTCTTCACTTTCAGCAAGCAAGGTTGTGTCATTCACATATCATAGGTTGTTAATGAGTCTTCCTCCAATCCTGATGCTCCATTCTTCTTCATATAGTCCAGCTTCTCGGATTATTTGCTCAGCATACAGATTGAATAAATATGGTGAAAGGATACAACCCTGACACACACCTTTCCTGACTTTAAACCACGCAGTATCCCCTTGTTCTGTTTGAATGACTGCCTCTTGGTCTATATACAGGTTCCTCATGAGCACAATTAAGTGTTCTGGAATTCCCATAAACATAGCAGCCTTGGAAACCCTATGGGGCATTTCTACTTTGCCCACATGTGAGTCAGAATCGACTAGATGGCAGTGAGTTTTTAATGAAGAGTCAGTGTGGAAAAGAGGGGAAAAAAGAAAGTTTAAATTAAAAAATGAAACCACATGCATTCTAGGAACTATTAAGAAATGGTTAAGGGTGATGGAAAAATGTGGGAATGGCTAATGGTGATGGTTGTACAACATGATAAACGTAATTCGTATCACTGAACTGCACCTGTGAGGACTGTTTAAATGCAAAGGTTTTGCTACCTGTTTACCACACACACACCCAAAAGAAATGGTTTATTTTATGCCTTAAGGAATTACAGTGACAACTTAACAAATATGAAATTAAAAGAAGATATTTAAAATTTTAATTTTGTTTAGATTATGTTTAAGTTATAAAATGTGGCCAGCTGAAGCATTTTCCAGAAAATAAAATCACTTTAAAAATAAGCAGTAGTTTTAAGCTTTATTTGCACTTAAAGGAACATAGCTGACCCAGGATCCTCGGCTTGGACGTCTGTACCTGACTGTGTACCACGTGTGGCCTTTTCTCCTTAATAGGATGACAGTGAGATTCCATTTACTGAAGAGGATTATCGAAGAAGAAAGCACCATCCTAATTTTCTGGATCACATAAATGCTGAGAAAATGGTCCTCAAATTTGGAAAAAACGTAAGTCTGCCCTAGTGGAACTTTTAGGGTAAGGCAGTGAGCGACAGATCTTTCTCCTCGTTTTCTTCCTCAGCTCTGGGCAAAGTTTAATAGTTTCACTCTTTCGTTGAGGGCGTGGAAGGAGCCCTCCTGGCGCAGTTACTGTCAATTGCTCAGCTGCTAAGGAAAGAGCGACGGTTGGAACCCACCAGCTGCTGAAGGTCACAGCCTAGGAAGCCCTGTGGGGCGGTTCTGCCGTGTCATATAGGGCTGTGATGAGTCTGAGCGACTGGAAGGCACACAGCAACGACCTGCACGGCGGGGCCTGTGTTTTACACGCATCGTCTCGGCTCTGCACACGCCTCTGTTCAGCTTCCTCACGGCAACGCCCACGGTCTCTGAGCATCAGGCTCTCCCGAGGTCCTTGCCCACGTCTGGTCCAGCCCACTGGGGTGAAAGCCCCGTGATTGCAGCAATGATTTTTCCCATTTCCACTAGGACATAAGCAGAACAGGTTCAGTGACTTAAAAGAGTTTTAATAAGCTGTAAATACGTCTTAAGTATCTGTCCTTTTATTTCGTCATTATCCCTCCCTGAAAACGCAGAGCTGAGTCTCCTCCGCTGCTGATTGTGTTTTCACTAAACCTGCCTCCAAAGTTGGGACACGCTGCGAGTTACACGTTACCGTATTGAACGTGAGAGAGCTGCCTGCAGATTTGTAAAGTGAATCAGACATCACCCCCACCCCCAAAGAGCCCCCGTCCTAGCGGGCTGGCAGACGCGAGCAACGACTATAATGTGATTCGTTGCTGGTTACGGTCGTGTCCGCTGACTCATGGCGACCCTATGTGTGAGCTTTCGGAAGCAGATCGCCAGGCCTGTCTTCCGAGGAGCCTCGGAGTGGGTTTGAACTGCCAACCTTTTGCCTCGTAGTCGAGCACCTTGTTAACCCTTTGTACCGCCCGGGGACTCCATAGTGAGCGCTTTAACCACAATGTGAACGGAAGGTCGCGGGAACCCAGGAAAGAGGGGAGGGTCAGAGCAGAACACGGAGGCTCCTGGGCCACAGTGGGCCCTCGGTACCATTCCGCTCCGTGAATCCACGGCAGAACTGACCCGTGAGCTCTGTTTTTAAGGATGGGCGACCCCCCCACTCCCCAGATGGAAAAGGAAATTCTAGGCAGGGGAACAGCATGAGCAAGGACCGCACAGTGATCTTTTTTCCCCCCAGCATTTTGTTTTGGGCTATCCTGATTTAAAGTCAGATATTGGAGTGTCTCATGTTCTCAGAAATTCATGACGAGTTTTGGGTTCTTAGTCAAAGCAGAGAAACGGACTGAGGTCCCAGCTTCAGAAAGGAGCTGGCCGTTGCCGGCCGACGGACGTCATGCTCAGCCTGTCTGCAGTAGGCTGGCTGCCCCACGGGGGTGCTGTTGTTGGGTGCTGGGGAGTCGGTCCTGACTTAGCGACCCCATGCACAGTGGAACAAAACACTGCCCGGTCCGGCACCACCCTCAGAACCACTGCTGTGTCCTGTTTCCAAAGGCAGATCCCGGTTGTAGGGAGCATGGCTGGTTCCAGGAGGGAGTGCCCCCTTCATTCTCTGGAGGTTCCATCCCCTTTTTCCCATTAGTGGAAGACCAGCGGGAAGTGACATGTAATAATAACTCTAAGATGACACCTAGTGGTCCCCGAGGATATTACAGTAGGAACTTGGAACGTCCCCAAATTCTTCCGTTCTACAGAAAATGCTTTGGCAATACAAACACTGTGAGTATAAAACAGTGTTAGAATTAGGAATTCTAGCCCCTTTGTATAAGAAGCCTTGGTGGTGCAATGATTAAGTGCTCGGCTGCTAACTGAAAGGTCGGCGGTTGAAACCCACCAGCCACTCCTAAGGAAGAAAAGACCTGGGCTAGGAAACCCTAAGGCTGAGTCAGAATCGACTGGACGTCACCCAACAACAGCCCCTTTGCATACGCATCAATTTATGACTTTAGCCAAGTCATTAAAGTTTTGGGATTAAACTAAATAAATAAAGGAACTGGACAAGATGATCTAAATTCCTTCCAGTCCCAATGTCTATAACCACATTATTTCACTGAATTTTCAATGTTGCCCAAAATAGAAAAATCCTGATTTGTTGATCATTTATGTCTAATTCATGGGATGAAAACGGTATGGTCACAGATAAAAATAATGTAAGCGAACAATAGTCTAAAATGGAGAAATATTTCATCTTAATATATTTTTTATTATAAAAATGTTAATGAAGTTTGTCCCGTACTCTACATGATACAATCAAATTTTGATTTTAAAATGTATTCCCTCCCTCTTTCCCCCTGCAGTTTTCGTAATCACTCTTTTTTGGACAATTAAGAGTAAGAAGATGAGGTGGATCTGGTCAATTCGGTCATCACAATGACTGCTTTGTAACCCAGTGTTTTCCATCATGTAGATGGAACCTTGGAAATAAGAATCCATTCATTTAACAAATGTCTGCTTAGATCCCAGTTCGTAGCAGACACTGTGGCTAAGAGCTCCTAGTGTGGATTTGTTTCTAGTTCGTCCTTTTTCGGGGCTAAACCTTTCAAAGGCCCCTTCTTTAGGATGGTTCTGACTCCCCACCTCACCAAGCCAAAGGCTCTGTATCCTCTGCCCGTGGGTTTAAAACCCACACTCCTAGATGACCGTATTTTTCACAAATAACGCGCTCACATAAATCACGCACGTGTGGGCGCCACACTCACACATACAGGCGTATAATGCACATAGAGTGCCCGGGAAAATAATATGCAAGGGATTGGAGGGTTGGCAAAAACATACAGCGTGGGCGTTATTTGTGTAAAAATACGGTAAGAGGCTAGCATTTCCCAGGGTGGCCTGACTGTTGGCTCTCTTGTTTTCAGTTCTCTACTTTTGGCCCCTGGAGAAAAAAAAAAAAACAAAAAAAAGTTGCTGTCGAGTTGATTCTGACTCATAGTCACTCCTTGGGAACCCTATGAGGCAATCCTACAGGGTCGCTGTGAGTCACAATCGACTCAGCGACAACAGGTTTGTTTTTTTAACCAGACTTCAGCCTTCTTCCTTGGGCCTGGTCTGGGCTGATGCCACTTATTTTACTTTTAATTATCTGTGTCAACCCCGTGTAGCCCAGGAAGTTAACCGCTCAGAATAGTTATTTGCCCGGGGGCACGCACTCCATGCTGTCCCACGCTCAAGTCCGCTGCTCCACTGCTGGAAAAGGCCCTGCCTCCCGGGGTGAAGACAGCCAGGACTCCTTCTTCACGCCATCTTGGTCTGAGCAAAGACTTGTGTGTAGCCACTTAAGGAAGATGGGAGACTTCTGAATCCCAAGTTCAGCCTGATTAGTTCCCAATGCGTTTGTCCAAACTGCAGTCTCAAGCCAGGGGGATCCACAGGGAGAAGGTTCAGCACATACTAAAACAAAAGTTACTCACAATTAAAAATTTTAGGCAGAATCAATTTTGTCCTTAACTGTTTTATTGGGAAAGGTAAGTGATGACAGGGTGTCTTAGTCTGGGTTCTCCAGAGGAGGAAAAACCAGTGAAATGTATAAATGCATATATAGAGAGATTTACGTCAAGAAAACAGCTCACACAATTGTGAGGAAATGGCTCACACAATTGTGAGGGCTGGCAAGTCCCAGATCTATAGGTCTGGCGGCAGGCTGGAGACTTCTGCTGGCTTGTGGGGTTGCGGGATGTGGCGAACCCAGAATCTGCAGGTCAGGCGGCAGGCTGGAGACTTCCGCAGGCTTACGTCCCAAGAGCTGGAGGTCAAGTGATGAGATGAGTGCAGGGTCGAGAGAGAGTGAGTTTTGCCAGAACATCCATTTATATACTGGAAACAGGCCACACCCTCAAGGAAACGCTCCTTTCAACCAATTGGCAGCTCACATCAGATCACAAAATGGAAGGCGATTACATTATGGAAGAGCACCTAGTCCAGTGTCTGCCAAACCGCTGAGAATCACAGCCTAGCCAAGTAGACACATAGCATTAACCACCACACAGGGTATTTCTTTACTTTATTGCCCTCCCCTTCTCACATTTAAAATCTTTTGCCTCTATTTATTCCCTTTCTTTTGTAACCCCCCATTTCTCCCTCCCTGCCATGTCTAAAACCTCAGCAGTTATCTAATTTCTGCCTGGAAAGTCACTGCATATCCATCTGGTTGAGCTTGGAGAGAGTTCGAAGGACTACCTCAAGTCCATAAGTTTACAGATCCTTTTGGGGATCTTCTGTTGTCACTTCTATCTTATCTAGTATAGTTAGGAAAAGCCAGGGAATCAGGTTCCCTTGCCCTGGACTTAGCTCATCCACTTGCCCACTGCTTGCTCCACTCAGATCCTTAGTGATAATCTCACTTCTGACACCAACTACAGCGCTTTAATACAGTGATGGATTGGCAAGAAGAGACCAATGACATACGCATACACTCACAAATTACTCTTGCTCAGGTAATATTAAGTTACCAATTTAACTACCAAACATTAAAAAAATATATATATATGAGCTGAAGTGGGCAGACCGTGGTAGTTAGTCTTTTGAGTCAAACAAATGTTTAGTTGAACCTAAACAAACCTTCTGGAGGTCATTGCACCTCTTATACTTGGCCCTTACATCAGCAACCCTGAAAAAAACGACACCAGCAATTACAGTAAGCTCTCTGGATTTTTAAATTGAATATCAGCAATTCCACATGGTTCCTGGGGCATGAGGGAGGACAGCATGAAAGGAAAAAGAGCCAGTGCCCAGGTTTCCGTGCCTATTATCTCTTCCGCAAGCTTTTCTCCATCCTGTTTCCCCGCAGTGTAGCTGATAGCACCACATGGCTTTAAAAACTGGTTAAATATTGAGGAAAATTATCCCAGTGCCTAAACTGCGCTTCTGGGGTGAAATGGACGCTCCACGTCAATTACATCCTAGTATTAAGGCCCATCACCAAACCCCTTGGTTTTATATACGTCTGTCTCCCCTACTAGATAGTCAAAGATCCTCACGGAAGGGCCTATTTTACATCTCCTTTCCCCACTCCGTGCCCAGCATAGTGCCAACAGGTACAGAGTTTTCACAAATAATAAACTCTAGACTTGATTGAATTAAGAGCCTGGTTAGATCTTTTCTTTTCTTTTTTTTTGCCTTTATGGTTAGTGGTTTTGTTTGTTTGTTTTTATTGTGTTTTAGGTGAATGTTTACAGCTCAAGTTAGTCTCTCATACAAACATTTATACACACGTTGTTATGTGACCCTAGTTGCTCTCCCTATAATGTGACAGCACACTCCTCCTTTCCACCCTGGATTTCCCGTGTCCATTCAACCAGCTCCTATGCCTCTCTGCCTTCTCATCTCACCTCTGGACAGGAGCTGCCCATTTAGTCTTGTGTATCTACTTGAACTAAGAAGCACACTCTTCACAAGTATCATGTTATGTCTTATAGTCCAGTCTATTCTTTATCTCAAGACTTGGTTTCAGGGATGGTTTTAGGTCTGGGTTAACAGAGAATCTGGAGGCTATGTCTTCTGGGGTTCCTCCAGTCTCAGTCAGACCATTAAGTCTGGTCTTTTTACTGAAATTTGAGTTCTGCACCTTACTTTTCTCCTGCACAGTCAGGGACTCTCTGTTGTGTTCCCTGTCAAGGTGGTCATTGGTGGTAGCCGGGCACCATCTAGTTCTTCTGGTCTCAGGCTGAAGCCCTGGTTAGATCTTAACAGAGGTCAGAGGCAGTCCTGAATCATACGGGTGGTGGTGTTCTCTCCCTTTGGAGGATAGTATTTCTATCCTAACCAATACTTTAATAGTCTGAATGAGTTGATGAAAGTTCCTGAAGTGCTCTTTTTAACCACTAAAAATAATCTGGTTCAATATAATTAATAAAATATTTATCTTTTTTCTGTATTCTATTTAATAGGTCAGAAAATTTGCAACTTACGTAGTTGCTGCTGGACTTCAGTATGGGATGGAAGGAGGTCTCTTACATACTTTTTTTAAGGTATGACTTTCTAATGACTGTGTCAGTTTTTTAAAAATTTTCTTCCAGTAAGACTACAATTTGAAGGTGTTTTTGATTCCTTCTAGATGTGGCTAGGGCAATATAATAGCAAAATATGAAGGGAATATGGAAGTAGACCATAACTACTTCTTTCCTATGGTCAACAACCTGTATTCTCCAATCTCATGATAGTGAAGATGAATATTGATCCTATGCTTACCATGTGCCAGGAACTGTTGTAGGTATTGAGGATACAATAAAATACAATTCTGCCCTTATGAGAGAATAGATAGATAATAAATAAACCAGTAAATGTAGAGTATTTCAGATGTTGACAAATGCTATGGGGAAGAAAAAATCAGGAAAAGGTAGGAAGAGAGTACAAGGGATGGAGTTGGGAAGTTACCTCTTACGTAGGATGGTCGAGGAAGGTCTTTCTAATGATGTGACGTTTGAGCAGAAAGCAAAAGGGAGTAACGGAGAGAACTAAGTAGCTTTCTGGGGAAAGAGCATCCCAGACAATGGGAATCACAAGTGCAAAGAACTGAGGCAAAAATGTGCTGGCTGTGTTTGAGGAACAGCAAGGAGACCAGTGTGGTTAGAGTGTGGGAGAATGGTAGGTGATAAGTCAAAGGAGTGATGGGGATTCAGATCCAGCCCAGACTTGTAGCCCACTGCGAAGACATTGACTGTTATTCTGAGTGAGCTGGGAAACCAGTAGACAGTTTTGGGCACAGGAGTAACATCATCTGCCTTAAGTTTTAAAAGGATTACGCTATTCTCCTCGTGTATTGTAGTGGGGTGAGGGCAGCAAAAGGAGACTAGTTAAGAGGGTAGTGCCTAGGACCTGGCTGGAAATGGTTCAAGATGAAGCTGAAGAAAATTAAAACAAGTTCAAAAGAACCAAAGTATGGCCTTGAGTATATCCCACCTGAATTTAGAGACCATCTCAAGAATAGATTTGACACTCACAAGAAAACAAACAAACAAACAAACAAAAGACCAGACTTACTGGTCTGACAGAGAGTGGAGAAACCCCAAGAGTATGGCCTCCAGACACCCTTTTAACTCAGCACTGAAGTCACGCCTGAGGTTCACCTTCAGCCAAAGATTAGACAGTCCCATCAAACAAAATTAAACTAAATGAGCACACCGGCCCAGGGGCAAGGATGAGCGAGAAGGCAGGAGGGGACAGGAAAGCTGGTAATGGGGAACCCAAGACTGATAAGGGGAGGGTGTTAACATGTCGTGGGGTTGGCAACCAATGTCACAAAACAATATGTGTATTACTTGTTTTATGAGAAACTAATTTGCTCTGTAAACCTTCATCTAAAGTACAATAAAAAAAATAAGAAAAAAAATACCAAAGAAAAATACAAAGCAAAGCAAAATATAACAAAACAAAAAAGAATAGATTTGACGCATTGAACACTAATGACTGAAGACCAGACCAGTTGTGGGATGATATCAAGGGTATCATACATGAAGAAAGCAAGAGGTCATTAAAAAGACAAGAAAGAAAGAAAAGACCAAAATGGTGTCAGAAGAGACTCTGAAACTTGCTCTTGAACATAGAGCAGCTAAAGCAAACAGAGGAAATGATGAAGTAAAAGAGCTGAACAGAAGATTTCAAAGGGTGACTCGAGAAGACAAAGTAAAGTATTATAATGAAATGAGCAAAGACCAGAAGTTAGAAAACCAAAGGGAAAGAACACCCTCTGCATTTCTCAAGCTGAAAGAACTGAAGAAAAAATTCAAACCTGGAACTGCAATATTGAAGGATTCTATGGGCAAAATATTGAACAACGCAGGAAGCATCAAAAGAAGATGAAGGAATACACAGAGTCTCTAAACCAAAAAGGATTGGTCAATGTTTAACCATTTCAGGTGGTAGCATATAATGAAGACCTGATGGTATTGAAGGGAGAAGTCCAAGCTGCACTGAAGGCATTGGTGAAAAGCAAGGCTCCAGGAATTGATGGAATACCAATTGAGATGTTTCAACAAACGGATGCAAAGCTGGAAGTGCTCACTTGTCCATGCCAGGAAGTTTAGAAGCAGCTTCCTGGCCAACGACTGGAAGAGATCCATATTAGTGCCTATTCCAAAGAAAAGTGATCCAACAGAATGTGGAAATTATCAAACAATGTCATTAATATCACAGGCAAGTAAATTTTTGCTGAAGATAAATAAAAAACAGTTGCAGCAATACATCAACAGGGAATTGCCAGAAATTCAAGTCAGATTCAGAAGAGGACATGGAACAAGGGATATCATTGCTGTTGTCAGATGGATCTTGGCTGAAAGCAGAGAATACCACAAAGATCTTTACCTGTGTTTTATTGGCTACGCAAAGGCATTCAACTGTGTGGATCAGAACAGATTATGGATAACATTGTAACGAATGGGAATTCCAAAACACTTAACTGTGCTTATGCAGAACCTGTACATAGACCAAGAGGCAGTTGTTTGACAGAACAAGGGGATACTGCATGGTTTAAAGTCAGGAAAGTTGTGCATCAGGGTTGTATCCTTTCACCATACCTATTCAATCTGTATGCTGAGCAAATAATCCGAGAAGCTGGACTATATGAAGAAGAACGAGGCATCAGGATTGGAGGAAGACTCATTAACAACCTGCAATATGCAGATGACACAACCTTGCTTGCTGAAAGTGAAGAGGACTTGAAGCACTTACTGATGAAGATCCAAGACTACAGCCTTCAGTATGGATTACACCTCAACATAAAGAAAACCAAAAGAAAAAAATCCTCACAACTGAACCAATAAGCAACATCGTGATAAATGGAGAAAAGACTAAGTTGTCAAGGATTTCATTTTACTTGGATCAACAATCAACACCCATAGAAACAGCAGTTAAGAAATCAAATGACATAGCGCATTAACCAAATCTGCTGCGAAAGACTTCTTTAAAAGTTTAAAAAGTAAAGATGTGTCTTTGAGGACTAAGGTGCGCCTGACCCAAGACAGGGTGTTTTCAATCACCTCCTACGCATGTGAAAGCTGGACAATGAATAAAGAAGACTGATGAAGAATTGATGCCTTTGAATTATGGTGTTGGTGAAGAATATTGAATATACCATGGACTTCCAGAAGAATGAGCACATCTGTCTTGGAAGTACAGCCAGAATGCTCATTAGAAATAAGGATGGCAAGACTTTGTCTGTCTCATGTACTTTGGATATGTTATCAGGAGAAACCAGTCCCCGGAGAAGGACATGATGCTTGGTAAAGTAGAGGGTCAGTGAAAAAGCAGAAGACTCTAAATGAGATGGACTGACACAGTGACTGCAACAATGGACTGTGCTCAACCAGAGCAAAGATGTGAGGATGGCTCAGGACGGAGCAGTGTTTCGTTCTGTTGTATGTAGTGTTGCTGTGAGCTGGAACTGACTGGAAAGCACCACCAACAACAATGGATACAGCTGCCGTCTCAGCACCTCAACTTGGACGTCTTCCACAAATCCAAACTTTACCTGCAGTGACCTCCCAAACCTGCTCCTCTTCCAGGACTCCATCTCAGCAAATGGGACCACCCTCCACCAGCTCCACCAGCCAGAACCAGCCCTTCCTTCTTTCCCACCCATCCCAACACCCCCACGTCCTACAGAGTCCACCTCCTCAGTATCTCCCTTCTCTCCCTCCCTGCCTCCAGGCTAGGCCGAGCCAGCTCTTGCCTGCACAGCTGTCAGAGCCTCCATCCCCACACTTCCCACCATTCCTCCACGAGGTATCGCTCCACGGCTGAGAACCCTGAAATGGTTTCCCAAAGACCAGAATATCAGTGGTGTGCTGTGTCCTCCACCTCTACCTCCTTCATTCTTTAAAGGCAATCTAAAATAATCAGTACTTGACGCTTCATTAAATAAACCCCAACCAAACCTGTGCCATTGAGTTGATTCCAACTCAGCGACCCTATAAGACAGAGGAGAACTGCCCTATAGGGTTTCCAAGGAGCAGCTGGTGGATTCAAATGGCCAACCTTTCAGTTAGCAGCCAAGCTCTTAACCACTGCCCCACTGGGGCACCGCTTAATTAAATAGTACTCCGCATGTCTAAGACAAGGATTTGGACTGAAGACAGGGGTTCAAGTCCAGGCTCAGCACCTCATCAGCGGGGTAGCCTCCTGAGCGTCTCATCCATGAGCTGATGCTAATTACTTGCCCTCCCCTCCCCGGCTCAGTGTTTTTGTGAGAAAGAAACATCTCAGGCACACGGAAGCGTTTGCTCTGTATGTAGAAAACCTGTAGAATAATCCTAACGATGGCTGGTCAGATTATAGATTTCTTTAAGCATTCCGGTCCTGAGGCTACACTTTATTTCTCTTACTAGGATTTGGTGGACTCCCAAGTCTTATCAGGACTGGTTTCCAAAACATCTCTTAGAGCAGACTACTCCAGCAGACAGCTAGCTCATTTGGAATAGTCATTCTTGTGTAACCAGAGGGAAACCTGCTTTTGCTTTTCTTTTTAGACTGCTTGGCTGGGTGAGGTCCCTGCATTATCAGTTTTTGGCGATGGATCAAATATAATTCCAGCAATTCACGTGCTGGATTTAGCAGGGTAAGCGTTCTCCCAGAGATACCACTGCTTTCCTAGAGTTAATTGATGAACGTGTTTGTTTATAAACTCGCGTGTACTGAACCCTCACCAGGCCACCAAGGTGCTAAGACCCTTACACGTATGTACTTATTCTTCACGACAGCCCTATGCGGAGGGTACTATTGTTAGCCCCACTTTACATCTGATGAAATAGAGTACGTCATTTAAAAGCTCTACACGGCTGATGACAAGTTCAGGGGCAATGCTTAGAAACTATCAGCTGAATAGCATGCCCTGCAATTTTGGAAAAGAACTTGATGTGTGCTTTCTGGGGACAGAGTTACCCAGGTCCCAGGTGGGACTGAAATATCCAGCCCACCAACTTAAATTTGAGAATTCAGATGATGTAACTCCAAACCTGAAGCTATTTCTGACAATTGCAGGTGAAGCTGACACACGTTTTCACACTCACAGAGCATCCTGACCCTATATTCCAGCAGGTCCAGAGACCCTCCTCCTTCTTTGGAGAACCTGACTTAAACGCCAGGTCAATGAGATGGCTCACTTGATTTGTGGTTCATCATTTGTAAAACGGGGATAATAATATTGTTAGCTGCCACTGAGTAGGCTCAGACTCGTAGCGACCATGTATACAACAGAACCAGACGTCGCCCGGTCCGGCACCATTTTCACCATCGTTGGTCTGCTCGAGCCCATTGTTTCGGCCACTGTGTATTTTGAGTGCCTCCCAACCTGGGGGGCTCATCTTCTAACACTATATCGGACAATAGTCTGTTGTGATCCATAGGGTTTTCACTGGCTAATTTTCAAAAGTTGATTGCCAAGACTTTCTTCCTAGTCTGCCTTAGTCTGGAAGCTCCACTGAAACCTGTCCACCATGGGTGACCCCGCTGGTATTTGAAATACCAGTGGCAGAGCTTCTGGCATCGCAGCGACATGCAAGTCGCCACAGTAGGACACACTGACAGATGGGTGCTGAGGAGAGAATCAACCAACGGAACCTGTTGCTGTCGAGTCAGTTCTGAAATCCAACTCACAGCGACCCCGTAGGACAGAGTAGAACTGCCCCATAGGGTTTCCAAGAAGTGGCTGGTGGATTCGAACTGCTGACCTTTTGGTTAGCAGCCAAGCTCTTCACCACCCAATAAGGTTGTTGTGGGGATTAAATAACACCTGTAAAACCTTCAGCCCAGTCTGGGCCCAGAGTTAAGTGTGCAGACACATTGGCAATGATTAATTCAGAATAAGAAATTTCGGGCTCAGTCCATTTGGCACTCTGTGACTCTGGTAAGAGGGTCACAGCCTCTCTGAGTCCATTTTTTCACTTGACAAAGCCTCTGTGTCCCAAAGCTCTGGAGTGAGACTTAATGAGCCACACACAGGACGGCAGGTGCTTCATCCACCAGAGTCCCCCAGGTGACGGGTGCTCCTCTTGGGAGGCAGCGCGGCGCGCAGCGAGAGGCCGGCACCCGGAGACCCGTGGTCTGCTTTCCAGGCCTGGCTCCTCACTTGCCTGGTGGCTACTGAGCCTGAGAAACGTCGAATTGACTCTTTGCACCTCAGCTCCCTCCTCTGTCGGGTGCAGACAACAATGCACCCCTCACCTTGTTGGAAATTAAGCGAGATGAGTGATACCAGACCAAACCCGTGCCTGGCCCACATGGGTGGTGGGTGAGTTCCAGTTTTGCGGTCTCTTTTCTCTTCTCCTTGGGTGACTGTCTTACTGTTGGTTTGCAGAGTGATACAGAACGTAATCGACCACGTGCCAAAGGTCCACTACCTGGTGGCTGTGGACGAGTCTGTGCAGACCCTGGAAGATGTGGTCAAGGTACAGTCTCTCCACCCCGGACTCTGCAGGTGTTCTTAAACAGCCCTACCCTCTGGTCCGGCTATGGAATCACATGGGCTGCTAAGACAGGGCCCCAGAAACAGGCCTTCAAACCCAAACTCACCGCCTGCATCTGCAGTCTGTGCTTCGGGGAATTCTCCCCAAATCAAAATGACCTTCCTGCAGTACGTGCATGGCGTCGTAGTTCGGCGCCGTGGAGACGGCTCCGACTCATGGCGACCTTACGTACAACAGAACAAAACGTCCCCTGTGCTTGCGCCATCCTCTCAGCCGTTGCTGTTTGAGCCCATTGCTGCCAGCACCTTGTCCGTCTAGCAGGATATGTGTGGTGGGAAGCAAAAAAGGCCACCGAGGGGCTTTTGAAGAAGATGGGCCTCATCCCACCTCAGACAGACACACGACAGGGACACACCAGAATACTCACTGTGCCTGAGCACCCATGCCCACCTACTGACACAGTCAGGGTCACCAAAGCTGAGAGCTGTGTCCAGGGACTCGAGGGCGGTGAGGCCGCCTGTCCTGGTCTTGTAGCCCAGCCTATGCAGCCTTCTCCTGCCTTTCCCCTGTTCAGTCCCTGCTCGTCCTTAAGATCCAGCTCAGACATCTTCCTCTGCACTCTCCCTGTGTCCCTCCCACCACCCCACGGGCCAGACACCTCCCTCCGTGCTCCCAGGACCCCTTCACTGAGCTCCATACATGGCACCTGATAGTTATCTGTCTCCTTGTCAGACTGGGCGCCCCATGAGGGCAGGGCCTCTTTATCTGTCTCTACTTCCTGGCACACGGAGGTGGTCCTCAAATGTTTGTGGAGTGGAGAAATCAAAACAAACAATGAAAAACTCCCAAACAATGGTTTAGCTTAACTAGTAAACAGGTCCACCTTGAACATTATGCTCTTTTAAGAATGATCTATATGGGATCAAACTGACAACAGCAACTCGAAAGATTAGCTAGGAACCTCGGTGGGTGGGGAGTTTATGTTAATGGGGAGGGAAAATCAGAAAAGGAGGGGAAGAATGGTTGCACAACTCCAAGAATGTAATCAGTGTCACTGAATTGTACGTGTAGAAACGGTTAAATCGTGTGTTTTGCTGTGTATATCCTCAACAACAACAAAGTAAATAAAATTTGGGAAAAAAAAACCCCAAATTGAAAAAAAGAAAGAAAAAGAAATATTTGTGGAGCGAATAGATGAATGAATACTCACAGCATACTACCCTCTATTTTGCATGTTATTATTTTTAATTCGGTTCGATTTGCATTCATTTGAGAAGTTGTGTGTGTATTTGTGCAGGTTAATCAACTAATAACTTCTGTTTTTCACTAACAGTGCATCAGTAAAAATACCGGCCCTGGGAAAATCCAGAAATTACCTAGAGAAAATGCTTTTCTAACCAAGGACTTGACAGTTAGTATATAAGAGATTTTTTATTTTACTATTTTTCTAAGTATACTAGTACTTGTGGAATTTGGATTCAGAAATTGTTGTTGTGTGCTGTAGAGTGGATTCTGACTCATAGAGACCCCACAGGACAGAGCAGAACTGCCCCATAGGATTTCCTAGACTGTAATCTCTCCCGGAGCAGACTGCCAGGTCATTCTCCTGCAGAGCCGCTGATGGCTTTGAGCCACCAACATCTCAGTGAGCAGCCAAGCACTTAACTGTTGCGCCTTGGAGTCAGAATAAACTAAAAAAACCAAGCCTGTTGCCTCAAGTCAATGCTGACTCATAGTGATCTTGTAGGACAGAGGAGAACTGCCCTATAGGGTTTCCAAGGCCGTAATCTTTGCAGGAGCGGATTGCCACGTCTTTCTCCTGCAGAGTGGCTGGTGGGTTAAAACTGCTGACCTGTTGGTTAGCAGCTGAGTGCTTAACCACTACACCACCAGTGCTCCTTGAAATCAGAATAAACCAAAAACCCATTGCCGTCGAGTAGAGTCCAACTCATAGTGACCCTATAGGATGGAGTAGAACCGTCCCATAGGGTTTCCCAGGAGTGGCTGGTGGATTCAAACTGCCCACCTTTTGATTAGCAGCCAAATTCTTAACCACTAAGCCACCAGGGCTCCTGGATTTAAATCCAGCTTCAGAATACCTGGATATCAGAATAACTGGATATCAGAATACCTGGTTTAAATCCATCTGCAGCTCCTACTGGCTGTGAGAAGTGCAGCTCGGTATTCTATCCAAGGCAACTTCTCTTTGTGAGCCTAGGTTTTCTTTTTCTGAAGAACCCACAGAGGGCAGGAAACGTGTTTGAGCAGGCTGATGTGTGTAAAATGCCACACAGACACTGGGTGGGTTCTCTTTGGCCTCTTGCTAAAATTCAGACAGGAGGCTGAGCTCCTGACTCCATCACAACAAAGACCATGACGGTTTTCCTTGCACTCTAGGCTCTTAAATCTTGTTTAAGGATAGAACTAGTGTCAGGAATCAGTTACACCAAACTCTGAGTCTGAAAATGTTTCTGGAAAGACTGATAACCTTGGTGGCCTCTAAAGGGGAGAACTGGGGGTGGTGGTAGGGATCTAGGAGAGTTTTTTGCTCTATTCTCTTTGTTCTTTGGGATTGTGAACCGTGGAACTGCATACCTATTAAAAAATAGATGGAATTTAAAAAAAGAAAGAAAGCCTTGGGCTTCCAGAATCTTCCTGTTCTTTGAGCTGCTTTTCTGCCCGCGAGAGCCACAGGTGCCGCCCACAGTAAGGTAGCAGATGTGAGGCGAGTTTAGAAGTGTCACGGCATCACTGTGGGTGCTCTGCAGATACTTGATGCCGGGTTATTCATGTTTACTGGGTTTGAATCGTTTCTTTTGAATGACTGCAGTGATGTTGGTCTGTCAAAATGAAGGAACAAAAAAGGAGCTTTCTAATTTTCCTTTATCTCTTAGCAAGAGTGTCTTGACCACTTACTGGTCAATTTGAGGATGGAAGCGCTCTTTGTGAAGGAAAATTTTAACATCCGATGGGTTGCCCAAACAGGATTCGTGGAAAATATCAACAACATCCTCAAAGAATATAAGCAAAGCCGAGGACTGTTGGTAACTATCATTATTTTCTGTTCACATTTCTAAGTTGATGCAAAAGTAAACAAATCTTTTAATGCGATTAGACCAATGAAAAGTACTTTCTTTTTCAAATCTCCAAATTTCAAATCCTCTTTCAGACTTCACCAATTTGTCCAGTTCTAACAGTCTACATGTATATTAATATTGATCAACTGAATATTTTTAAAAGTGTAAAAGTCTTTAATATCGATAATACCTATGATGACTGACACAATGAACACGATAGTCAGTCAAGGCTGACTGTCACAGAGTTGAATCTGAGGGAAATGTGCCTTATGGGGTGTCTGTTTTCAGCCCGGGGTATCCATAGGGGAGAGTAGGTGGGAGGACAAGGGAGAAGAAATTTGATTACTACTTTGATCTCTTCCTATTGGCCAGGAGATTTGCTGGTCATTTTAATCATCACAACTTCTCAAGGTCAGTACTCTTAACTCCACGTTACAGATAAGGAAACCGAAGTTCAGAGAGATGAAGCAGCTTCTTCAAGATCACACAGATAGTCAGGGATGCAAACTAGCTCGCTAGAACCGTCTGTCCAACTGCAGAGCCCAGGCTTGGCGCTGCACACCTCCCTCTCTGAAACTGGGCCAAGGTAGCGCTAGCCCAGATCTTTACATTTACCCCAGGGATGGAAGAGGGTAGTACCTGAGAAAGTGTTTGAGAACTGTAAAGTGGCATCTGAGCACAAGGGGGCATCATAATGGAGGTTGTCATCGTACACGGGAACACACTACACAAGCAAGTACAGTGCTGTCATGGTATCCTAAGAACTGTATTCTCTTGAGAAACAGACCTAGTGAAGATTAAGTAATAGATGTACCACTTAGCTAAAGAAATCCTGACCCCTTTAAGCATCTAAGGTGCCCGTGGCAGCTGTACTCGGAGAATGTCCTGAGTCACCTGTTAACCATTACCATTGAGTCATTTCCAACTCGTAGCGACCCTATAGCACAGAGTAGAGCTGCCCTGTAGGCTTTCCTCAGTTGCAATCCTTATGAGAGCCGATCGCCAGGTCTTTTCTCCTGTGGAGCAGCTGGTGGGTTCCAACTGCCGACCTTTCGGATAGCAGAAGAGAGCTTAATCATACGCCACCAGGGCTCCTTATCCTAAGGCCACCCAACCCCAGCTCAGGAGGTTAGACTGGTGTCGTCCTCTGTGGGTCAGCTGCAAAGCAGTGCACAGTAGAGCAGAGATATCAAGGAGAAGACACTTCAAAGAGACAAAATGCTCCTGACTAGCAAGACTGTAGCAGGAACGGTATTGTTGTTCTTCTCTGCCCCGACTCATGGTGACCCTGTGCACAACGGGACTGGATCGCTGTGATTCATTGGGTTTTCACTGGCTGATTTTTGGAAGTAGGTCACCAAGCCTTTCTTCCTAGTCCATCTTAGTCTCGAAGGTCTGCTGAAAACTCTTTAACATCGTAGCAACACAGGGTGGTAGCTGCGCGTGAAGTACATTGGCGGGGAATAGAACCTGGGTCTCCTGCATGGAAGGTGAGAATTCTACCACTGAGCCACCAATGCCTCAGCATGAATGAGCATATCATTAAAAAAAAAAAAAAAAAGTCCGTTCCCAGGGTGTTGGTCAGCCACAGTGGCATAGAGCAGGAAGTACCCCTGAGGCCAATGGAGGCGGTGCCCACCAGCCAGGCCCCAGGAGGATGGACTCTTAAGCCTTGACTTCCACCATCTGGGTTCCTTTAGCAAGTCAAAGGCATCCTTGCTGTAGAGACAGATGCTTCAAGCCACCTTGCCCTGATGTCACTGAGCAGTCAACCCATCTCACTCTCCTTGTTCTGGTCAAAGCTCATCAAGTAGGCCCCTGATCCAGACTCAGCCCTCAGGGAGTCAATGTACCAGGCAAGTGGACTTGGAGGGTTCTGGGCTCGGGGTCAGTCATACTTCTTCTTATAGAGAATAAATGGGCATCCTGGTTTTGCACACTGGTCTTGTAAACTTGGATGAGGTGACAGATGCGCTGTTGGTGTGTGGACAAAACGAGGCACGTGTTGCTAGCCGACGTGTGTGGAGAGCCCAGGCCATGGCGAATTCACCAGGCTCCTGCGTACCCACCCAGGCCAGCCTTGCCCGTCAAGACTCAGCTCCTAAACTGCCGCCTCGGACACCTGCTCCCCCAGTGTCTGCCATTGTGGCCGTCAGCATCGACCCGAAAGTGTCTGCCCCTAACCAGAGAGGGACCGTCATGTGCACGATCCCTCACCCAGCCCCACTCCACTGTCACTGCTGATTTCTGTCACAACTAAGGTGTCTTAGTCCCCTAGTGCTGCCGTAACAGAAACACCACAAGTGGGTGGCTTTAAAGAACAGAAATTTATTTTCTCACAGTTCTGGGGACTAGAAGTCCACATCAGTAGTCCTGGGCACTCCCTGGTTCCCTGGCTTGTAGGGGGTTCCCACATGGCGTCTGTCTTCCCCTCTGTGAGTGTGTGTGAGTGAGTGTGTCTAAACTGCTCTTTCTATAGCTCAGAAGTGATTAGGTTTAGGAGCCATTCTACACTGGTATGACCACAACCGACTGATTACATTACATCGCATTACATCACGGCCACAGGTAGAAACCACCAAAACACCCTTTGCAGTGGAGTCGATCCTGACTCATAGCGACCCTATGGGTCAGAGCAGAGTTGCCCCACAGGGTTTCCAAGGAGTGGCTGGTGGATTCGAACTGCTGACCTTTTGGTTAGCAGCCGAGCTCTTAACCACTGCGCCGCCAGGGCTCCAACCACAGGTATAGGGATTAGAATTCCAACACGTATTTTGGGCGGGACACAATTCAGTCCATAACACTTGGTTTCCTCATACGTAAAGTGGTAACAGTAATCAAAGTAATCAACTTAATGGGTGCAATTATGTAATCTTTAAACCTATGAAAATTCTGCCAGTGGGAAGTCCTTGCGTCGGGATTACTTTTTAATAATTTACCTTCAAAATACTAGGTGTCAGCTTCACAACTGTTTGGGCCATTTTGAAGGAAATGAGTATTTGTTACTGTATTTGGATTTCTGGTAGAAATAAATAAATAAATAGTTACTGGTTATGAGTGCAACAGAGCTTCTTTAACGTTCAAGCAAGTTTTTCAGCAGAAGAAACTGTGTTTTTTTTAAATGAGTGTATTTTTTAAAAAATCAGAATAAATTAACTGTGTTAAAAAGAAAAGTATAAATTAAGGACCAAATTCAGACCATAAACACTACTGATGAGGCCATATATTAGGCCACCTGGTGACACCTGACCAACAGGCTGTGGTTGGCTCAGTGGGAGAATTCTCACCTTCCATGCAGAAGACCTGGGTTTGATCCCCGGCCAATACACGTCACGCGCAGCCACCACCGTCTGTCAGTGGAAGCTTAAGCTTGTGTGTTGCTGTGATGCTGAACAGGTTTCAGCGGAGCTTCCAGACGAAGACAGACTGGGAAGAAAGGCCTGGAGATCTACTTCCAAAAATTAGCCAAGGAAAACTGTCTGGATCACAACAGTCCGACGCCCCCAAAGGGATGGAGCAGGGCCAGGCAGCGTTTCATTCTGTTGTGTGTGGGGCCACTATGAGTTGGGAGGCTGACGACGGCAGCTAACCGCAGCCCATCAGCCATTGTCGGCGAGTTCATGTCCACTCATAGCGGCCCCCTAGGACAGAGCAGAACTGCCCCGTAGGGTGTCCAAGTCTGTAATCTTTATGGGAGCAGACTGCCACGTCTTTCTCCCTCAGAGCAGCTGGTGGGTTCGAACCGCCAACCTTTTGGTTAGCAGCCAAGCGCCTAACCACTGTGCCATCAGGGCTCCTTGATAACAACCACACTGGACCAGAAATTCTTCCGTTTCTTCGTTCTCCTTACGAGCATAGCCCAATAAGCATGAAATTGGTAGCAGGTAATGGCTGAGTACTTTGTTCTTTTGTACTTTTGAGGTATTCCTGAGCACATCCCTTCAACTTTCACATCCCCCACATCAAACCCAAACCCGTTGCGGTGGAGTCGATTCTGACTCATAGCGACCCTATACGTCAGAGTACAGTTGCCCCATAGGGTTTCCAAGGAGTGGCTGGTGGATTTGAACTGCCCATCTCTTGGTTAGTAGCTGAGCTCTTAACCACTGCGCCACAGGGCTCCTCGCCCACATAGTGGATGCTTATTAAATATCTGCTGAATGAATGGACACGAATGGACACTCTCTGGTTAGAGACAGACGCTCTCCGCACGGTGTGGCAGCGACCAAGACGCCGGAGTGGGGGGAGGGACTTGAGTCCATTCTTGACGAGGAGGGAGCATCAGCCTGCAGGATGCGAGACTTTTGAAAAGGCACATTCCTGACACGGACAACACTGTCTAGTTCCTGACTGTTCCCAGCTCACTGTGGTTCCTCATTCTCCTTTCAGCCCATCAAGATTTGTATTCTCGGTCCTCCCGCTGTGGGAAAATCCAGCATTGCTGTGGAACTGTGCAAATACTACAAGCTGCACCACATCAAACTCAAGGACGTCATTTCCGAGGCCATAGCAAAACTGGTAATGTGTTTACCTACCTGATCTGGAATTTTTATTTAAAAAAAATGCTTGTCTCAGTCTCGTGATAAAGGAACAAGTCATTCACACATCAGTCTACAAAGAGGTTTAGAATTTTACTTGGATTTTGCGGCTGGCCCCTGTCATGAAAACACAGAACCCCACAGGGCTTTCTTCCACTTCGGAGTGGAAGCATCTTTCCTGGCCCTTGGAGTTGGGTCTGTCTCCAGCTGTTGTTGAAATTATATTTTGCATCCTGGATATACGTTGACCGGAACGTTTTTAAGCTTTTTATTCTTGTGGTAAAATATATATATATATATACAACACAACATTTGCCATTTCAACATTTTTTACATGCACAATTCGGTGACGTGAATTATGTTCTCCATGTTGCGCAGCCATCACCACTCTCTGTCTGCAAATGTTTTCATCACCCTTAACAGACGCTCAGAGCCCCTTAGGGGTTTGTTCTCAGTATTTTCAGAAGGCCCGTCTACTGACTAGTTGTCACCATCTTGCTGTGAATGGTAGATGCTGAGGTACGCGCCCATTATTATTATTCAGTCTTGTTTTTATAAAATGTGTTTCCTTCAGGTAAGGTACAACAATCTTTATCTGCAAAAGGGTGGAATCTTAATCAGTTCTGGCTTTGCACAGAAATGTGTTATTCTCCCAAAACCGAGTAAGAGAAACCCTGCGGGTCTCTAGCCGTCTTTGGAGAAGCACACATCCCGGAAACCTCCGTGCGGCAGCTGTCATGGGCACGGTCTCAGGTGTCTGGCGCTGCTGTAACAGAAGTACCACACGCGATGGCTTTCATTTATTTCCTCACAGTTTACGAGGCTAGTAAGTCCGAATTCAGGGTGCCAGCTCTAGGAGAAGGCTTTCTCTGTCTCTGTTGGCTCCAGAAGGTCCTTGCCTCTTTTCAGCTCCTGTTCCTCAGTGTGGCATCTGTCTTCCCCCATCTCTGCTTCCTTGCTTCTCTGTGCTTAATCTGCCCTTTTATATCTCAAGAGACTGATTGAAGACACACGCTATGCTAATCCTGCCTCATTAACATGACAAAGACAACCCATTCCCAAATGCGATTATAACCACAGGTGTGGGGGTTAGGATTTACAACACATATTTTGGGGCGACACAATTCAATCTATAATGGGTACCTTCCCTTTTTGGGTACTAGCCTTTTGCCAGGGTCACTCCACAGGTGATTTGTGAGCGTGAATCAGTGTAGAGCGTCCCTGATTTGAATGTCCCTGTGGCACGTAGGAGGCGATTGTCGCACCTCAGGAAGGAGGAGAAGAAGAAGGTGAAGAGGAGGAGGAGGAGGAGAACGTGGAAGACGCGCAGGAACTCTTAGACGGCATCAAGGAGAGCATGGAGCAGAATGCAGGTAACGCCAGGCACACAGGTAACGTGTGCACAGGTAACGCGTGCACAGGTAATGCCCGACGCACAGGTGAACGCCAGGCGCACAGGTAACGTGTGCACAGGTAACGCGTGCACAGGTAACGCCCGACGCGCAGGTAAACGCCAGGCACACAGGTAACGCGTGCACAGGTAACGCCCGACGCGCAGGTAAACGCCAGGCACACAGGTAACGTGTGCACAGGTAACGCGTGCACAGGTAATGCCCGACGCACAGGTGAACGCCAGGCGCACAGGTAACACGTGCTCAGGTAACGCGTGCACAGGTAACGCCCGACGCGCAGGTAAACGCCAGGTGCACAGGTAACGTGTGCACAGGTAACGCGTGCACAGGTAATGCCCGACGCACAGGTGAACGCCAGGCGCACAGGTAACGTGTGCACAGGTAACGTGTGCACAGGGAACGCCCGACGCACAGGTAAACGCCAGGCGCACAGGTAATGTGTGCACAGGTAACGCGTGCACAGGTAACGCCCGACGCGCAGGTAAACGCCAGGC